TCTCTCTCTCTCTCTCTCTCTCTCTCTCTCTCTCTCTCTCTCTCTCTCTCTCTCTCTCTCTCTCTCTTACACACACACACACAAACGCACACACAAACCCACGCCCTCTCCTACGGGCAGAACTGCAAGGCAGTGCTCTCCGTCTCAACACAACACCTTTGTCTCCGTTTTCTCTGGGTTGCTGTTTGGAGGGTTCGCATCGTGAGAGCATAGAGACGAGCAGTGGTGCCTGCAGTGAGTTCATTATACGTGGCCACAGAAGCTTCCCAGCATGCGTATGATCCTACCTCCCTTTGCCTCTGCCTCTGCCTCTCCCTTTCCCTGTGTCTTTCTCGTTCCGCACGCATACAATCGCATACACACGACGAGAACAATCACATTAACGGCTGGAATGGAAGCGGATTTCTGCATTCATTGAGTTTGAGTTGGTCAAAACGGACAAACTTCCTTCATCTCGTTTTTTTGCTAAATTCCTGATCTGTGATCGACGCCCTGTCCGATTTGCAAACTCTTGCCAAAAAGACGAGATGACAGCGGGACCGGTGCGTCGTCAGGTAAAGTGACACGTGTTGCTCGCTGCTGCTGCTATTAATCAAGAGCTATTACAGTAATCAAGACGAAGGGAGGGCGGCTAATGACAACAACGTTTTCCTCCTGTTCTCGTAATGGTCGACAGAAGAGAGATTCTCATACTCCTTCAGCAGATCGAACACTTGTTTCATCTCCTGTTCCACCGACGATCTCTCCTCCTGATCTATCTCAGCTAATCTTCTCCTGACTGCACGCGCTTCTACTTCCAATCGATGTCTAGCTCGATACCTTTCCCTAAGTTCTGCGTCGGCTTTCTTCAGCAATGCGGCATCAAGGAGCATCTTCTCAAATTCATCTTGCGTTGGTCTGCTTTTGTCAGGTCTCACGGGGATGACAGGACCATTCTTCCGCCTCCGACGCAGAGGTCCATCACCCCAAACGGAGAGACGGGCACTGACATGAAGAATACCATCGTCATCAACATGAAATCTCACATTCACCAATCTACTCTCTCCTCTCTCTGAGTCAATTACACTGCCATTGCCATTGCCATTGCCAACCCCACCACCCTTAGCTTTGCCTATGCCGCCACGTCCTCTTCCTCGACCTATCATCTCCTCTTCTTCCCCATTTTCAATCCCCTCCTCTCCATCTCCTCCCTCCTCCGTCTCCTCTTCCTCCTCCTCCTCCTCCTCCTCCTCCTCCTCCTCCTCCTCCGCCTCCTCCGCCTCCTCCGCTTCCACCTTCACACGTACTCCAAGCGTCTGTTTCTCCGCCATCGTCCTTTTCTTCAAAATAGCTCCCGCCCATCTTCCTATTCCTATGCCAATTCTTCCCCCTCTTCCTAATCCTTTCACTCCTCTCCCTCTCCCTCTCCCTCTCCCTCTCCCTCTCCCCCTCCCTCTCCCTCTCGCAAATACCACCACCTTTTTCTTCCCTCCTCTTCCTCTTCCTCTTCCTCCTCCTCCTCCTCCTCCTCCTCCTCCTCCTCTCCCTCTTCCTCTTCCTTCGCCCCCTCCTCCTCCTCCTCTTCCTCCTCCTCCTCCTCCTCCTTCTGCTTCCCCATTTTCTATTAGCTTGTCCAACCCCTCCAAATAGAATGTACCCAACAAATGATTCAGTTCACAAAGCCGTGCTTCCCCCTCGTAAACTTTCAGTTCCATCTCTTTCTGACCGGGGTCCGCCGTCTGATAAGACGCTTGAATGGTGGCGGGTATCCGCGTATGTCTGGGGAAGACGATGCACATCTTCTTCCCATCCCTCCCCTTCGTCCCGAGAGAGTACGGGATGACATCCTCCACGGTCAAGTCCTCATGCAAGGCCCCCGACAGAATAGCAGCCTGCACAGCCGCCCCGTATGCCACCGCTTCATCGTGATACAACCCTACCCACGGTTGTCGTTTCCCGCTGAAGCATCCCTGAACCATCTCCTGAAGTATCGGAATACGCGTCGATCCTCCAACCAAGATCACATCATCAATCTCCTCTTTCCCCACCTCTGCGTCCATCATCGCTCTCCTGACCAATTTGCTAAATCGATCAAGAAGATCTCGATTCATGTCTTCAAAAGCTGCTCGGCTCCAAGGTGTCTTCCTGTCCCCATCGCCGAAGATGGAATTCAATTCTATCCATGCAAGATCTTGATTAGATAGCGTGTGCTTTGCGACGATGCACGCGTTCCGCAGCCGCCACAGACTCCGTGGGTCGTCGGATATATCTGTTCCCAACTTCCGTCTGTAGCGATCGACGATCCTCAAGACGAGGCGATTATCAAAATCGACGCCCCCCAAGTGGCTGTCTCCAGCGCAGGCATCAACCCTAAAAGTTCTCCCATCGATTTGCAAGATGGAAACATCCAGCGTACCGGCGCCCATATCCACGACCATGATCTTCTTCTTCTTCTGGGCTCCAGCCGCCATAGCCGTCGAGCTCGAGCTCTTGTGCAAGCTGTAAGCTATGGCTGCCGCCGTTGGCTCATTCAACAGCCGCAAAACTCGCAGACCAGCAAGACTTCCCGCGTCTTTCGTCGCTTCCCGCTGAGAGTCTGTAAAATGCGCGGGAACAGAGATCACTGCATCCCGGACCTCACAGCCAAGATAGCCTTCCGAGATCTCCTTCATTCGCGCCAAAAGCATGGCGGCAATCTCTTCCGGTGCAAATTTCTTGTCCAGCATTTTGTTTTTCACGCCGATCTGGAGATCGCCCCATTGCCCCGCAAACAGATCGAACGGCCAGAATCGTTGCTCTTCTTGAACACAAGGGTCATCAAACCTGCGACCTATCAATCGTTTGAGATCGAAGATCGTGTTCTTAGGATGAATGCCAGCCTGATTGACCGCTTCGTCGCCAATCAAACGACCCGTGTCAGTGAAAGAGACGAAGGACGGGGTCACTCGATGACCATTCTCATTAGGAATTATCTCCACTTTCCCATTACGCCAAACTCCCACACAACAACTATACGTTCCCAAATCGATCCCGATCGCTGGTCCCGCTTCCGCACTAGATTCGCACCGCTTAAGCCCCCTCCTTTCCTCCATCTCTCCCCCTACTCCTCCCCCCCCCCCCCCCCCCCCCCCCCCCCCCCCCCCCCCCCCCCCCCCCCCCCCCC